TCCATTTTGTTAATGTTGTCTATCACATTGATTAATTTACATATGTGAACCCTGCTTGCATCCCTGGAATAAATCTCACCTGATCATGGTGTATGGTCCTTTTAATGTATTGTTGAATTTGGTTTGTTAAAATTTTGTTGATTATTTTTGCATCTATGTTCATTAGGGATATTGGCCTATAATTTTCTTTTCTTGTGGTGTCCTTGTCTGGTTTTGATATATCAGGGTAATGCTGTCCTCAGAAAATGAATTAGAAACATTTCCTCCTCTTCAGTTTATTAGAAGTGTTTGAGAAGGATAGGTATTAATTCTTCTTTGAATGTTTGGTAGATTTCACCAGTGAAGCTGTCTGGTCCTGGACTTTTGTTTGTTGGGAGGTTTATGATTATAGATTCAATCTCCTTACTAGTAATCGGTTTAATCAGGTTTTATATTTCTGCGTGATTCAGTCTTGAAATGTATGTTTCTAGGAATTTCATCTAGGTTGTCCAATTGTTGGCAAATAATAGTTCATAGTAATCTCTTATGATCCTTTATATCTCCTGTACTGTATAAGTTGTAACATCTCCTATTTCATTTCTGGTTTTATTTATTTGAGCTCTCTTTTTCTTGATAAATATTAACTAAAGGTTTGCCAATTTTGTTTATGTTTTCAAAGAAACAGCTCTTAGTTTCTTTGATCTTTTCTGTTGTCTTTTTAGTCTATATTTCATTATTTCTGCTCTGATCTTTATTTCCTTCATTCTACTATCTTTGGCTTCACATTTCTTTTTGTCCCCTCATTCCTAGTGGTATAAAGTTAGAATGTTTATTTGAGATTTTTCTTGTTTCTTGAGGGAGGCATGTATAGCTCTGAACTTCCCTCTTAGAATCGCTTTTGGTGCCTCCCATAAATATTGCCATGTTGTATTTCTATTTTCAGTTGTCTCAAGGTAGTTATTGATTTCTGTTTTGATTTCTTTGTTGACCCATTGGTTGTTCAGTAGTCTCTTGTTAAATCTCCACATATTTGTGAATTTTCCAGTTTTCTTCTTGTAATTAATTTCTACTTTCATACCATGTGGTCAGAAAAGATGCTTGAAATGATTTCAATCTTCTTAAATTTATTAAGACTTATTTTGTAGCCTAATATATGATCTATCTTGGAATGTACCATGTGAACTTCAGAAGAATGCATATTCTACTGCTTTTGGATGGAATGTTCTGTATATATCTATTAAGTCCATGTGGTCTAATGTGTCATTCAAGGCCTTTGTTTCCATATTGATTTTCTGTCTGGATGATCTATCCATTGATGTGTTTGGGGTATTAAAGTCCCCTACTATCATGGTATTCCTGTCTATTTCTCATGTTAGTCCTGCTAATATTTGCTTTATATATTTAGGTTCTCCTATGTTGGGTGCATAAATATTTACAAATGTTATATCCTTTTGTTTGATTGACTCCTTTATGTTTTTGTAATGCCATTCTTTTTCTTTTATTACAGTCTTTGAAAGTCTACTTTGTCTGATATAAGGACAGCTACCCCAGCTTTCTTTTGGTTTCCATTTGCCTGGAATGTTTTCATCCTTTCCCTTTTACTGTGTCTGTATCCTTAAATCTGAAGTGAATCTCTTGTAGGCAGCCTATAGATGAGTCTTATTTTTTTATCCATTCAGTTACTCTGTGTCTTTTGATTGGCAAATTTAGTTCATTTACATTTAAAGTAATTATTCATAGGGATGTACTTATTGCCATTTTGTTAATTGTTTTCTGGCTGTTTTGTCGTTCTTCTCTGTTCCTTTCTTCTTCTCTTGTCCTCTTCCTTTGTGGTCTGATAACTTGCTTTAGTAGTATGCTTAGATCCTTTCTCACTATCTTTTATGTATCTATTCTAGGTTTTTGCTTTGTGGTTAACATGAGGCTTTCATACAATAAGTTATATTTATAGCAGTCTATTTTAAGTTGATAACTTAAGTTTGAACACATTCTAAAACTCTACATTTTTACCCTCCTCCCACCTTTTATGTTTTTGATGTTACATTTACATTTTTTATTTTGTGTATCCCTTAACTAATTATTATACTTATTGTCATTGTTAATACTTTTATCTTTTAACCTTCATACTAGCTTTGTAAGCAATTAATCCACTACCTTTACCATATATTTACCTTTAGCAGTGAGATCTATACTTTCATATGTTCTCTTGTTACTAATTAGTGCCCTTTCTTTTCAGCTTAAAGAAGTCTCTTTAACATTTCTTGCAAGGCTGATGAATTACTTTAGCTTTTACTTGTCTGGAAATTTCATTATCTCTCTTTCAATTCTAAATGATAACATTGCCAGGTAGAGTATTCTTGGTTGGAACCTTTTTTTTGTTTCATAACTTTGAATATTTTTTGCCACTCCCTTCTGGAATGCAAAGTTTCTACTGAAAAATCTGCTGATAGTTTTATGGGATTCCCATGTACATAACAAGTTGTTTTTCTCTTGCTGCTTTGAAGATTCTCTCTTTATCTTTTTTTTTAAGATTTTATTTTTTTCCTTTTTCTCCCCAAAGCCCCCTGGTACATAGTTGTATATTCTTAGTTGTGGGTCCTTCTAGTTGTGGCATGTGGGATGCTGCCTCAGCATGGCTTGATGAGCAGTACCATGTCCATACCCAGGATCCGAACTGGTGAAACCCCAGGCCACCACAGCAGAGCACGTGAACTTAACCACTCAGCCACGCAGCTGGCCCCCTCTCTCTTTATCTTTAACTTTTGACATTTTAATTATAATGTTTCTTGGTGTAGATCTCTTTGAGTTCATCATATTTGGAACTTTCTGGGCTTCCTAAATCTGGATGTCTGTTTCTTTCCCCAGGTTAGGGAAATTTTCATCCATTGTTTCTTCAAATATTATTTTTCTACCCCCTTTTCTCTCATTCTTCATTGACCCCTATGATATGAATGTTACACTGCTTCATATTTCCCACAAGTCCCTTAAGCTATCTTCACTTTAAATTCTTTTTCTTTCTTTTTATTGTTCTGATTGGATGAGTTCCACTGTCCTGTCTTTGAGATCACTGATCCCTTCTTCTTCTTCATCTAGTCTGCTGTAGAACCTCTCTGATGTATTTTTAAGTTCAATTATTTTATTCTTCAGTTCTGTGACTTCAGTTTGGTACTTTCTTATATTCTCTATGTCTTTGTTGAGGTGGTCACTGTGTTTATCCATTCTTCTCCCGAGTTCAGTGAGCATTTTTATGACCATTACTTTGAACTCTTTATCAGGTAAATTACTTATCTCCATTTTGTTAAAGTTTTTTCCTTGTTCTTTCATTTGGAACAATTTCTCTGTTTCCACATTTTGCTTGACTCTGTGTGTTTTTTTCTATGTATTATGTGACCCTCCTACCTCTCTCAGTCTTGAAGGAGTGGCCTTGTGTAGCAGATGAACCTTATCAATCAATCTTGCCCTAACTCTTGATATTCTCACAACACTTTGAAATTATCCAAGCAGTCTATTTTATTTTTAATAGTTCCTGGTTGCTGAGAGTGTGCCAGACTAGTCAGTATCCCAAAGGGAGGGTTCTCAGTCAGCACATAGTTTCAGGCTGAATGAAAGCCAGCCTTTCAGGCAACACCTTTTAAGGTATGCAAATATATACAGTCCTGTGAGACTGCAGTTGTAAACCTTGCTCATCTCTAGACCAAATGATCCCCTGGGTGACAGTTGCAAAAATTTGGACTCCAGATGAGTATATAAACTCCTTTCTGGGAGATACCAACAATTTGTAGGGAGGCAAAGATGGTGCGCTCTGACCTACCTTCCCTGAGAGCACCTCTGTAGACCTCTAGATGTGAGGCAATTCTGAAACCTGCCCTTCAGACTGAAGTTCCAGGACAAGTAGTCTTCTTTCACTGAAAGATTGGGGTATGTTTCAGTTTTCTCTCTATGTAGTGCCCTGGGAGTGATAGCCTTCCAAAGCTCTCTCTCCAGTTGTTATAGTCCTATTAGACCCAGAAACACAAGCCCTTGGCCACCAGATCCAGGCAACCAAGGGGCATCCCCTGTGCAGAGCTTCAAAAACCAGAGCACTAGACATGAAAACTGAGACAATAGACACTTGTAATAGTTCCCCTCCAAGAGATACTGGTGCTCTGAAGTACAATAGAGAGAGCATGAAGATAGCACTTGCCTTCTGAGGTCTCTGGAAAGGTTACAGTCAGCCCTTGGATGTGTGTTTAATTAGAAGCCTGCCCCTCAGGCTGCAGCTATGATGATGGGCTAATAGGCCTCTTTCACAGAAAGACTGGGATCCTGGCTCTGTTGCCTCTTGCTGTGCCCTGAAGGTGATAGCCATTTGAAAACTCTATCTTTGTTGGTTATAGTTCTGTGGGCCTGCAAGCATAATCCCCACTGGCCGCCAGGGCCAGGTGATGTAGAGATGTTCTCTGGCAGAAGCTGCAAAAATTAGGGTGCCAAACAAGGATATAAGCTCCTTTCTGGGAGATATCAGCAAGCTGGTGTAATTCAGAGGGAGAACACAAAGATTGTATTTACCAGCCTCTGTTTTCTGAGGGCACCTCTGTAGGCCTCTAAATGTGTGCCAGTCCAGAGGTCTGCCCCTCAGGCCAAAGTTCCTGCATACGTACATAGATCTCTTTCTCATAAAAACTGGTGGTGCATTTTAGTCTGCTATGTGTGCAGTACCATGGGGGTGGTAGTCTTCCAAGCACTGTCTCTCTGACTGTTACAGTCTCAAGGGACCCAGGAATGCAAGCAACTCTGGCCTCCAGAACCAGGCTTTCAAGGGGTGTCCCCTGGACTGCAGCCACAAAAACTGGTGCACCAGACATAACAAAAGTGACATCAGTTGTGGGTTAAAGCTCGCCTCTGGGAGATACTGGCCTTCTGAAGCATGGCAGAAGAAGAGTGTGAAGATGGCACCGACTGAGGATAAAAGAAATAAAGAAAAAAGGGGGAAAAAAGGATGGTTCCTGACAATTTTAACAAGGCAGAGGGAGAGTGCAAAGATGGTGCCCACTGGCTTTAGCAAGGCAGGGGGAGAGAGCAATGATGGCATCCGCCAGTTGGAGGGTAACAATGGCACCCCCTGAGACACAGGAAAGAAAACAGCACCTGCCACCCTCCAGCTTTAGCAAATTAGAGGAAGAGTGCAAGACCTATGCCTACCCACTCCTCTGTTCCTGGGAGATTATCCCAAAAGGCCCCTCCCCATCCGGCGGATGCTTTAAGATTAGCAAATAAATCTCTTTCACATATAGTCTGGGTGCTTTTCAAACTGCAGCTTCTGCCCTGGGCCCTAGGGTAAGTAAATCTGTGCATGAGCCTTTTAAGAACAGTTTCTTTGTTTGCTGCAGCCCTTTGGGTCTCGTGGACATGAGCCCCATTGGTTTTCAAAGCCAAATGTTTTAGGGGCTTGTTTCTCAGGTGTGGGTCTTAAGTGTTGGGTGCCTGATGTGGAGTGCAAACCCTTTGCTCCTCAGGGAGAAGCTCCCGATTTGTGAGTTCCCTCGCACTTGTGGGTTACCATGCCACGGATGGGGTTTATTGTAAGATTGCTTCTCAGCCTCTTCTACCCACCTTGATGTGGCCCTTTTCATGCTTGATGTAAAGGAGCTATCCAGCTAGTTTTCAGAACTTTTTCAGAGGTCATTGTTTCCTATGTAGCTGTAGATTTGGATGTGCATGGGAGGAGGTGAGTTCAGGATCTTCCTATGTCACCATCTTGGGCCACCTCTTGCATTTCCTTGATTGTTGAGTTCACCATTTTTGTGTGTTTTTTTGTTTTAATTTTTTTCAGCTCTTTTTGAAGTAAAATCGACAAACAAAAATTACGTGTTTAAGGTGTACATTGTGATGGTTTGATATATATATATATACACATTGTGAAATGATTGCCACATTCAAACTAATTAAAACATATATTATGTCACATAGTTATCTTTCTTTTTGGTGATCACCTTCATATCTACTCTCTTAACAAATTTCACGTAAACTACAGTCTTATTAATTATAGTAACAATGCTGTAGATTAGATCTTTAGAATTTATTCCTCTTATAACTGAAAGATTATACACTTGACCAAACTTGCCCTATTTTCCCCATCCCCCAGTTCTTGGTAACCACAGTTCTACATTCTGGTTCTATGAGTTTGACTTTTTTAGTTTCTACATATGAGTGAGATCATATAGTACTTCCCTTTCTCTGTCTGGCTAATTTCAATTAATATAATGTCCTCAAATTTCACCCATATTGTCATAAATGACTGCTATTCCTTCTTTTTATGGCTGAATAATATTCCGTTATATGTTTCTTTATCCATTCATTCATCAATGGGCACTTATTCTGTTTCCTTGTCTTGGCTATTGTGGATAATGCCGCAAAGAACATGGGTACATATATCTCTTTAGGATACTTATTTCATTTCCTTTGGATGTATACCAAGTAGTGAGATTACTGGATCATATGGTAGGGTTTGTTTTTTATTTTTGAGACATGTCCATAGCATTTTCCATAATGGATGTATCAATTTACATTTCCAATAACAGTGATAACAGTGTATAAGGATTCCCTTTTCTCCACACCAATAGGCAATACCATATGGCCTAGGTGTGTAGTAGGCTATATCATCAAGGTTTGTGTAAGTACACTTTATGATGTTCGCACAACAACAAAATCACCTAACAATGCATTTCTCAGAATGTATCCCCATCATTAAGCTACACATTACTGTAATAGAGTTTGAAATCAGGAAGTGTGATGCCTCCAGCTTTATTCTTCTCAAGATTACTTTGGTTATGTGGAATCTTTTCTGATTCTGTATGAATTTTAGCATTGTTTTTTCTTTTTCTGTGAAAAATACCATTGAAATTTTGATAGGGATTGCACTGAATCTGTAGATCACTTTGGGTATTATGGACATTTCCATAATATTAATTCTTCCAATTCAAGAACACAGGATGTCTTTCATTTTGTGTCTTCTTCAATACCTTTAATCAATGTCTTATAGTTTTCATTGTACAGATATTTCACCTCTTTGTTTAAATTTATTCCTAAATATTTAATTTTTTGATACTATTGTAAATGAGATTCTGTTCTTAGTTTCTTTTTCAGGTTGTTCGTTGTTAGTATGTAGAAATGTAGCTGATTTTTGTAAGCAAATTTTGTATCCTACAACTTTGCTGAATTTATCAGTTCTAACACTTTCTAGGTGAAATATTTCGGTTTTTTTTATATATAATATCATGTCATCAGCAAACAGAGACAATTTTACTTCTTCTTTCCCTATTTGAGTGCCTTTTATTTCTTTTTCTTGTCTGATTACTATGGTTAAGACTCCCAGGATTATGTTGAAAAGGAGTGGTGATAGTGGGCACCCTTTTATTGCTGGTAATCTTAGAGGAAAAGCTCTTAGCTTTTCACCATTGAGTATGATGTTAGGAATGGGCTTGTCATAAATGGATTTATTATATTAAGATACATTCTGTCTATACCTATTTTTTGGGAATTTTTATCATGAGAGGATAATGAATTTTCTCAAATATTTTATGCATATGTTAAGATCATATAATTTTATCCTTCATTCTGTTAATGTGATGTATTACATTTATTGATTTGCATATGTCAAACCATCCTTGCATCTCAAGATTATATCCCACTTGTTCATGATGTATGATCCTTTTAACATTTTGCCAGCATTTTGTTGAGGACTTTTGCATCTATATTCATTAGGGATATTGACCTGTAATGTTTTTTTCCTGTAGTGTTCTTATCTGGCTGGTATATGGATGATGCTGCTCTCATGAAGTAAAATTGAAAGTCTTTTCTCCTCTTCTATTTTTTGGAAGAGTTTGAGGAGAATTAGCATTAACGCTTCTTTAGATATTTGATGGAATTCACATGTGAAGCCATCTGGTCCTGTGGTTTTTTTGTTGGAGGTTTTTGATTAGTGTTTCAATCTCCTTACTTATTATTGATCTGCTCAGATTTTCAATTTCTTCATGATTTATTCTTAGTAGGTTGTATGTTTCTAGGAATTTCTCCATTTTTCTAGGTTGCCAAATTTGCTAGTGTAAATTGTTTATGATAGTCTCATGATTTTCTGTATTTCTGAGGTAGCAGTTGTAATATCTCCTCTTTCATTTATAATTTTATTTGTCTTCTCTCTTTCTTTGTTAGTCTAGCTAAAAGTTTGTCAATTTTGTTTTTCTTTTTAGAAAACACTCTTAGTTGCATTGATTTTTTTCTATTGTCTTTCTAGTCTCTATTTTATTTATTTCTGCTCTGATCTTTATTATTTCCTTCCTTCTGCCAACTTTTGGCTTTGTTTTTTCTTTTTTTTCCTAATTCTTTGAGGTGTAAATTTAGTTTAGTTGAGAACTTTCTGTTTTCCTAATGTGGGAATTTATTGCTGTAAACTTCCCTCTTAGAAATGCTTTTGCTGCATCCCATAAGTTTTGGTATGTTGTTTCCATTTTCCATAAAATATATATATATATGTTTCCGTAAACATATACATATATATTTCCATAAAATATGAACATATATTTTATATATACTTCTACTTTTCCTATTGATTTCTTCTTGACCCACAGGTTGCTCAAGAGTGTGTTGTTTAATATGTACATAGTTGTGAACTTTCCAATTTTCCTCCTGTTATCAATTTCTAGTTTCTTACCACTGTAGTCAGAAATCATGCTTGATATGATTTTAATCTTCTTAAATTTGTTAATGCTTGCTTTCTGGCCTAACATATGACGTATCTATAGAATGTTCCATTTATATGAGAAGAATGTGCATTCTGCTGCCATTGAATGGAATGTTCTTTATATGTCTGTTAGGTCCATTTCGTCTAAGGTATAGTTCAAGTCCAATGTTTATTGATTTTCTGTCTGGATGATCTATCTCTTGTTGAAAGTGGATTATTTAAGTCCTCTGTTATTATTATATTACTGTCTATTTCTCCCTTTAATTATGTAATATTTGCCTTAAATATTTGGGTGCTCCAATGTTGGGTGCATATATATTTACAATTGTTACATTCTCTTGATGAATTGACCACATTATCACTATATAGTGACCTTTCTTCTTGTGATCGATTTTGACTGAAATTCTGTTTTATCTGATTTAGTATAACCTCTTCTCCTCTTTTTTGGTTACCATTTGCATGGAATGTGTTTTCCCATCCCTTCACTTTTACCCTGTGTGTGTCCTAAAAGCTAAATTGTGTCTCTTGTAGGTGGCATATTGTTGGGTCTTGGTTTTTTATTAACTCAACCACTCTGTGTTTTTTATTGGAGAATTTAATCCATTCACATTTGAAGTAATTATTGATAGATTAAGAGTCACTATTGCCATTTTGTTAGTTGTTTTCTGACTGTTTTATAGTTCACGTGTTCCTTTCTTCCTCTCTAGCTGTCTTCCTTTGTGATTTATTTTTTGTAGTGGTATACTTGAATTTCTTTCTCTTTCTCTTTTGTTTATCTATTAGAAGTTTAAAGCTTGTTTATTTTGTTACCATGAGGCATACATAAAACATCTTATAAATATAAAAGTCTATTTTAAAGTGATAACTTACCTTGAATCACATACAAAATCTGTATGCTCTTTCATTTCCTCCACCCTCAATTTATGCTATTGATGTCACACATTGCATCTTTTTATATTGTGCATCCATTAAAACATTTTTATAGTTATAGTTATTTTTTTATATTTTTATTTTTTTTAAAGATTTTATTTTTTTCCTTTTTCTCCCCAAAGCCCCCCAGTACACAGTTGTATATTCTTCGTTGTGGGTCCTTCTAGTTGTGGCATGTGGGATGCTGCCTCAGCGTGGTTTGATGAGCAGTGCCATGTCCGCGCCAAGGATTCGAACCAACGAAACACTGGGCCACCTGCAGTGGAGCACACGAACTTAACCACTCGGCCACGGGACCAGCCCCAGTTATAGTTATTTTTAATACCATTACCTTTTAACTTTTACCCTAGAGATAAAAGTGATTCATGCACCACCTTTACAATATTAGGGTATTCTGAATTTGACTATATATTTACTTTTACCAATGAGTTTTGTA